CTTTGGTTTAGTTTCATTGTAAACTTTTTTTACTTTTTAAAAAATGTTTTTATTATTGAGAAAGAGAGACAGACAGACACAAGCAGGGGAGGGACAAAGAGAAACAGAATCTGAAGCAGGCTCCAGGCTCCGAGCTGGCAGCACAGAGCCTGACACAGGGCGTGAACTTGAGAACCGCGAGATCATGACCTGAGCTGAAGTCAGATGCTCAACCGACTGAGCCACCCAGGCACCCACAGATTCATTGTAATATTTGTATTACATGGCAGGACCATGTTACTAGGATTTTGGGAGGGAGAGGAAGTATATGTGTGGCCTCAGGCCATCATCTTGAATCAGAAGTCTTAACAGTATTTATTTACTGAGTGAATTTTATATCAGATCTTTCTAATCTGGATACTAAATCCAAATAGTACTAAAAGGTACTGCAGGCCAAATCTAATCAGTATGGCACTGATGTTATCTGGAAAGCCATCTGGGACTCCAACTACATGTTATGCCCTATGATACTGTCCCATACTCACTGATGCTGTACTCCTTTTTTTCAATCTTTTTTTTCTCTCTCCTGCAGATTGGATAGTGACTACTGACTGATCTTCAAGTTCACTGGCTCTTCTATGTTTTTAATTTGCTGTTTAAATGATTTAGTGGGCTGCCTAGATGGTTCAGTAAGTTAGGCATCTGACTCTTGGTGTCAGCTCAGGTCATGATCTGACACACATGACTCAGGTCATGATCTGGCACAAGTCATGATTTCGTGAGTTCGAGACTTGTGTTGGGCTCTACGCTGGCAGCACAGAGCCTGCTTGGGATTCTCTCTCCCTCCCTCTCTCCTTCTTTACTTGTGCTGTCTCTGTGTCTCTCAAAATAAATAAACTTAAAAACTATTTTAATGATTTAGTAAACTTTTTAAATTAGCTGTTAAATTTCTCAGTTCTTTTTTTTTTTAAATTTTTTTTTTTCAACATTTATTTATTTTTGGGACAGAGAGAGACAGAGCATGAACGGGGGAGGGGCAGAGAGAGAGGGAGACACAGAATCGGAAACAGGCTCCAGACTCTGAGCCATCAGCCCAGAGCCCGACGCGGGGCTCGAACTCACGGACCGCGAGATCGTGACCTGGCTGAAGTCGGACGCTTAACCGACTGCGCCACCCAGGCGCCCCAAATTTCTCAGTTCTATAATACATATTAGGTTCTTTTTAAACAGTTTTTATTTCTCTCCTGAGATTTGCAATTTGTTCATTCATTACTGGCAGATTTTCCTCAACACCCTGAGTGCAGTTACAACAGCTGCTTTAAAATCCTCACCACTAATTCCAAAGTCAGGATCATTTGGGGGTCGATGTGACTACTAATGGGTACAGTTTCTTTTTAGGGGATGAAAAAGTTCTAAAACTGAGTATGGTAATGGTTGCTAAAATATTCCACAAATGAAAAGCTCAATTTCTCAGGGACCTGGGCTGGCTCAGTTGGTGGGGCATACGACTCTTGATCTAGGGGTTGTAAATTCAAGCCTCATTTTGAGTGTAGAGATTAAAAACAAAATCTTAAAAAGAAAATCTCAATTTCTCAATTAACAGCGTTCCTTGTTATCAAGTGCCCTATACCAAGTGATGACTTAGCATCAATACCAAGTGCTAGAATTCACTAAGAAATAAATTAACTCCTATCAGAATACAGGATCCTGGTTCCTAAGAAAACTGTTAAAAGTCATTTTGAGGACAGGTGAGAAAATCTGAATGTGAGCTATTAGATGGATACTAAGGAATTATGCCAAAGTTAGTAGATATGATTATAAGGAAAACAGGAGTTGCATGACACCAAAATATTAAGTGTCTCATGGAGTCTACAACTTACTACAACTTACTACTCAGTCAAACACACACATATACAGATACACACATGGAAGGAGAATATTATAAAACATTAACGACTGTCAAATCTAGGCAGTGGGTGCTATCTCTACCATGTTTGCAGTATTTATGTATATTTGAAATTTTCATTTTAAAAAAATTGGGGGGAGAAGATACCGGGCTAAAAAAAATTTATTCAGGATTTTCAGCCACTTCATAATAAAAATCCACATAAAGTTTATATAATTTTTATTTTGTCAATCATTTTTCATTCCAGGAATCCTTATCAGCTAACATTTTTCTAGCCATTAACCCAATTACCACAAGGTGTCACTCTTTCTGTGTTCAAATCAAAAGGCCTGCAAGGGAAAAGGTTGTCATCAGTACTACATGGAAAATACACTCAACTTCCAAGTTAATCTGAAAACTTTAGAACTTCTTACATTTAGGAAATACAGTTACATAAATCCTCTCCGTTCAGAGACACTGAAATACAGACTAAATACGAATGTTAAACTCTCCAAAGTTTTTCACAATTTCAGATGAGAAAGTTTTATCTGTAGGACTGTAACTGTCTCCAAGAAAAGAGTCCCACAGTCAGCTACTTCAGTAGCCAAATGACTCAAAATGTTCCGAATGACCTTGGGGTCAGTCCACAGATGCCGAGCCAACTAGCCAGAGTTCAGAACTGGCAAAAGACATGTTTAGGACTCCTGCAAATGACCCACTCTCTCCTGGAACTAGCTCAAACCTCCCTGCCTCTGCGCCCACAGCACATGGGAACTGGCCCAACGCTGTATTTGCCTACTGATCCTCTGTCAAGGAATAACACAGAGCTCAAAGGATCGGTATCATGAACCACAAGGCTGAAAAGCTTTAACCAATGTATCCAAAAAGGTTATTCACATTCTCCTTGTCCCCACCTGGCTATCATTAAAGTGTACTACAACTTAAAATTTGTTAACATTTGAGGAATCTGGATGAAGAACACTAAGAATTTTTAAGATGTATTATTTGGAAATAATTTCAAATTCACAAAAAGGTGCAAAAACCAGTACAAAAAGCACCCATATGACCACTTTACACAGATTTGCTTATGTTAACTGTTTACCCATCTTTTTCATCATTTGCCATCTTCTGTCCCTGTCTATCTGTCTTTATCTATCCCTGATGTTTTCCCTGAATCCTTTAAGGATATACATCATGGTCCTTTACCTCTAGATATTCAGTGTGTGATTCGTAAGAATAGGGACGTTGACTTACATAAACAGTATAGTTATCAACTTTATAAATTGATATGGTTACATATGTTTACCTATAATCCACTTTTGTCCTGTCTAGTTTTTTAAAGTTTCAGTTCTGTCAGAACACCTGTTATAGCATTTTCCCTACAGCGTTAGACAGAGTCTAGGCACAGGTATTGCATTTAATTCATGTCTCCTCAGACCCCTTTAATCTGAAACTTTTCCATAGTCTTTGTCTTTTATGACACTGGCAGTTCTGAGGAATACAGCGCCACACATTCTTGTGTTTTTAGTAAAACATTCATTTTTTGTCTATTTAAAGTTTTTTGTTTTTTTTTTTTACGTTTATTTATTTATTTTGAGAAGAGAGAGAGAGGGAGCATGCTCAGAGGAGGGGCAGAGAGAGAAAAGGAGACAGAGAATCCCAAGCAGGCTCCACACTATCAAGTATGGAACCTGACATAGGGCTCGAACCCACGAACTGTGAGATCATGACCTGAGCCAAAATCAAGAGTCAGACACTTAACCGACTGAACCACCCAGGTGCCCCTATTTAATGTTTCTTTATGATTCATTACAGTTATGCTTCAGCCAGAATATGGCCCAGCTGATGGTGAGTCTGATTCTCTGTGCCTCTGTCATTTATTTACAGGATCACCAGTGAGGTCAAAGTGTTGCCCAATTTTTCCACTGAATAATTTCTGGTTGTTTCTTCTTCCTCACTTGCAACATAATAAATAGTCTGTGGGAAGACATTTTAAGATCAACCAAATTTTTGCTCCTCATCAAACTATCAACACAGAAATGCTTTGTACTAGTTTTGCGATTTTTTTGTAAGTGAAATAACTGTAAAATAATTTCAAAAAACTTAAAGCAATTTAAAATAGGAGTTTCAATCCTACCAGATCATAAAACCTCCATGGTTGGGAGGAAAACCAGACAAATAAAGAAAAACCTGTGCTTTAGACATAAGATTACAAAGGATGACTGATTTTTGTCTCAGTATACCTGCGATCATTAGAACAATAAATGGCTTTTCTTAAGATCTAAAAAAATAAAATAACAATCAGTTTTTCCTTAAATGATTTTCTGTAACCAAGCACAGTTTTGAAGCAATGCTTCCTCTTAACAGTTCTTCCTTATGAACAAAACATAGCAGTCCAAAGACTATTGGCTAATGTGTGAAATACGCTTTGCCACATGTGTATTTCTGCAGGCCACTGTCTACTGTGCCTGTCCACTTCAGCAGTGACAGCGACCAATTTTCATTTTGTTACTGAATGCAAACTGTCCCCGCTCGTTAACATGGGTACAACAAAAGGAATGAAAAGCTCCCCCATCACTTACTCTCTAAATCGGAAATAATGAGGTTGTCATGAAGTTTCACAGCTCGATGTTGTTCTACTTCATCTTCAAGTTCAAAGATGGTTTCTTTCATGTCACTCCTCTCTGTGTCTTTTTCTTCCAGCTCTGATCTTAGTTTCTCTAATGTCATATTCAAATCTTCTATTTGTTTCTTAGCTTCTTCTTGGAAGGCTCGGTATTCATCTTCTACCTGTATAGAATGATGGTGCACATTAGAAAAGTAGGAGCTGCTCTAAGATAAATTCTACAATGGATGTACACACTGTTTCAAAGGAAGCAAAGCATGAGTTCCGAGGTATGAGCTAAAACTAGCTCTGTAGTAACTGTATGAATCTATGAAAAAGCACTCTATAATATGCTTAAACATAATTTGTTGCTATATCACTGACAAATTATATTGACATATCACTGAACTTAACTAGATTATTTATGAGGAAATTTAAAAAAATTTCCCTTCTCCAAATTATGGACCAAAGACATGTATTTGATTAATAATTAATATCCCTCTCCCATCCCACCCCCCCAAAGATGTCTGATTTGTGACAGTTTCATTACCAAATTAAAAATGGAAACAAATTCTCAAATACTGTTATTGCAAAAGTATTAACTCAAAGTGCCTTCCAACATATATGTTCCAACAAATAATACATACCCTAACTTGTATCTCTAAACATCATCACTAAAAAATTACAATCTAAATTATTTAAATTTTGGCCAAAGATATACTAGTGTTTCTTTAAAAACCAGTGCCCTAAAACAGGAAATAAAATGGAAGATAGAAGAATTGGGTAACTCATGCAAATAAACACTGCATCAGCAATGACATGGGGCACAGACCCCTGGCCAGAATGCCAGCAACCCCAGGCTGTAGTTCTGCATAAGTCCTTGCTATTATGCTACGTATAAAACAAGGGGGCTGGACCAATGATCTCTAAGGTCCTTCCTTGTCAGCAACAAGACATAGTCCTCTATGTGCCCCTGGGCGTACCTAGCCTAGGGACAAATTCTGTTATAATTACAGTCCCATCCTCTCACAGGCAGTGAAAGTGACATTTTTTCAAGAATATGTTTTACTGTATCCCAATAAAGGAAAACCATTCTCAAGCTTTAAAACAAAATCAGCCTACAAAAAGTGAATGACATATCACAGAAATGATACCGGCTTTTGGTAAGCATGGTGTGTACTGCAGCTGCATAATGCTGATGCAGAACATTCTGTCTACTTAAACGGTACCTTTGCAATGGTGTCCTGCAAACGATTGGCATCATTTCGGGTGTGAGCCAGATCTTCCTGCAGACTACTAGCCAAAGTCTCTGCTTTTTCTTTGTCCAGCCTGACGCTCTCCAGGAGATCTTGAATATCAGATTTGTCTCCAGAGTTATGGATGGAATACAGCTCTGCCACCTTCTGCTTCTCATTCTCCAGCTGGGCCTTCAGACGATTCATTTCTATCTGATCACTGGCCACTGTGGCTTTGTACTCCTCTAGCGTGGCTGCCAAGGCTGCTTTACCCTTCTGTTCAGACTCAATGATGCGCTCCATATGGTGATTGCGTTCTTTGAGTGCCCCTATCATTTCTTGAGCTTCCTTGTTGTCTTGTTCTGCCATCTTCAAAGTATTGCTTAAATGCTGCTGGACACCAAGAAGCTGCTCTCGTTCAAAACGGGCATTCTCAGCTAGATCCATGTAACGTTGCTCCAATTCCATATAGCGTCCGCTTTTTACATCTTCATCTATGACATAAGAAATGTGATGCTCATCCAGAAGGGAGCGGAAATATTCAATCTGTCGGCTAAAGTGTTCCAACTTATCACTCTGCTGACATAAAGACTCCATAAGAATAACCTTCTCTTCTCCAAGCCTTTCATTTTCACTATTCAGTTCTTGGGTTATCTGCTGCAAATCAGCTAGCTCTTGCAGAGTTGCCTGAAGTTCCTCACTCGTGCTGTGTTGGTTCTCTTCCATCTGGTGTATCCTTTCTGTCAAGCAAGCGACGGACACTTCACTCGCGTTGCCGCTGCTCCCCTTCCGGGAGCGCTCTATGCTTGGAATGCCTTCGGACTCTGAGGACGATGGCGCATCTAGGGCGTCGTCACTCGATGTGAGGGGCTGGTACACCTCACTGCACTCACTGTCTAGATTGTCCATTGAGTTGCTGTGCTGATGGTCCATGAGGGTGTTCTCGTCCTGACTCAAGAGATCCTCCACAGACCCAGGGGCAGAGCCTTCCACCGAAGAGGTCAGGGTCCCTCCTCCATCACTCTGATTGCCAGGGGTGATTTCTGGGCTCAGGGACTGATAACCAAATAGCTTTTCAGAATTATCTAGCCTCTGCTCTAGGGAAAAGCCCAGGGCATTCAACCTGTCCTTTAACATTCTGTTCTCATTTTTTAGCTGGTTCAGTTCTTCGCGGATGGCAGTATTCTGTTCCTGCAACTGCAACAAGGTGGACTCAACATCGGTTGGCTGGTGAGCAATGACGGCTTCCTTCTCCTCAGACTTTTCATCACCCTCTGAATGATCTTCATTAATGCCCAGCTGGGCCCGCATGTCTCGGAGCTCATTTCTCAAATGTAAGATTTCCACATCCTTTGTTTTTGCCAACGTGAGCAGCTCTTTCACTTTGGCTTCCAAAGCAGCTTTGTCACTGATCTGATTGTCCGACTTAGACTTGCTCATGCGAACATCACATTCTGTTGTGGTGCGACTGCGGGAACGCTTGGCCAATGCCACATCATTGGCTCCTTGACCCGCAGAGGGTAGTTTTTTGCTCTGGTTTAGTCGGGTACGTTCGCGTAATCTTTCTCGAGTAGAACTGGATTCTTTATTACCTATAGAAGTGCTCCGCTTGGTTGAAGAACTTGTGCCTAAATGTTTATAACAAAGAATGTAAGGCAAAGATATTAGCAACAAAAGGCACAGAGGTTAATCCCTAGGTCTAATGAGATGAAATCTAGAGGCCTACACATTGATCTTGGCCGACATTAATCCTGCCTTAGATTCTAATCACTGTAAAATTCAGTTTCCTCAAAACCAAATCATTTATTTTTTTAATTATCCATGAAAAAGAAGTTATACATTGTATTGTATGCTTTAAGTGGGTGGATTTATAAAATGAGAATTATATCTCAATAAAGCTATTAACATAAAAAAAGTTACCCATTAACTTGAATCCTAAACCATGAACTTTAAACAAGTGGCCAGGGGCATAATACTCTAGGGCAAGCTAGATGAAGCAGACTCTAGGATTAGCCAGTCAGGTAGCAAACTAACTGTAGAAGCAGATGGTAAAGAAGGATGAGCAAGAAGGGAAAAGCAGCCTCTGGACAAACCAAAAATCTAAGATACCTGTAATAAACAAAAAAAGTACGATCAAAGTAAGTGCAAAAAGTTTTTCACATCACAGAATGACATATAAATAGTACCAATAACATTAATTATAATATAGCTAACATGTACTTAGTGCTTATTTTACACATACACAGATGAACACTTCACATACATTAATTTATACAAGCCTCATTATTATTATCATGAAGAAACACAGAGATGTTAAGTAATTTGCCAACATCCCACATGTAATAAGTGGATGAGCAAGGATTCAAATGCAGGCAGGGAGTCTGGCTCCAGAATCCACAACTTAAGTTGTACACTATGCTGCCTCTTTAAATGTTAGAAAACAGGGAAACCTGGGTGGCTCAGTTGGTTAAGCAAACGACTCTTGGTTTCAGCTCAGGTCATCTCACAGTTCATGGGTTGAAGCCCCACACTGGGCTCTGTGCTGACAGCACACAGTCTGTTTGGGATTCTGTCTCCCTCTCTCTGCCCCTCCCCTGCTCACTTTCTCTCTCTCTCTCTCTCTCTCTCTCTCTCTCTCTCTCAAAAACAAATAAATAAATAGATAAAGAAAGAAAGCAAGCAAGCAAGCAAGCAAGCAAGCAAGCTGGGGTGCCTGGGTGGCTCAGTCGGTTGAGTGTCCAGCTTCGGCTTAGGTTGTGATCTCACAGTTCATGAGTTTGAGCCCTGTGTCGGGCTCTGTGCTGACAGCTCAGACCCTGGAGACTGCTTTGGATTCTGTGTCTTCCTCTCTCTCTCTGCTCCTCCCTTGTTCACACTCTTTGTCTCTCTCTCAAAAATAAACAAACATTAAAAAAAATTTTTTTAATAAATAAATAAAAAAGCAAAGAAAAATAAGATCTACATCTAATCAGTATTTTGTAAAAACCTGCTAGTTCTTTACATGGCAGGCACCAGGCTTCAGGGGTAAGAGAGAGCGAAAGGTCTATGTGATATAGGTAGACAGCCACTGATTCTGCCAGGGGTTTGGTGTAGAGCAGGGGAGGCCACAGGACAGAACAAGGAAGCAGAAGTGAACAAGACACACAGAAAGGAAAAGTAAGGTCACACAATTAATGGGAACAGTAGGGGAAGTTTCTACAGGGCCCTGAACATCAGGGAAAATTTAGTGAGTCACAATAGTAAATGTTCAATAAGTGTTCTGGAGCAGGGAAGAAACACAGAAAACAGTATTTTTATGAAAACTAATCTAGAGGCTAAGTGAAACATATAAGGAAGAAGAGCAGTTAAAGAGGAATGTGGACAGGCAGAATAGTAAAAGAAAAAAAAGGAGGGCCTACATTTGGGGAGTGAGATCTGGATCTCTGTAAGAACACAGAAGGGATAATACATCTGTAACAGATTTAGGGTAGAAGAAACAAGATGAGAAGAAACAATTGCAAACCAAACCAAAATCCGGGGTAAGAAAGAAAAGATCTGGACATGCCTGAAAGCCAAAAAGGAAAGGAGCCAGTAATGAGGGAAGGGATTGACAATGCCCCAAAAGGAAAGGAGAGGTAAAGAGACAAGAAAGGAAGAGACAGACAGAACATGAAAAAGAAAAGCTCCCCTTCTGAGATTATTGTGACCAGCGAGTAGATAGAAAAATCTGAGTTACAGACAAGTGAACTGGTCTTAGAGAAGTCATGGAGAGTAAATAAACATAGAGTAGATGAACTGAAGAAGTAAGGATGTTGTTATGGGCTGAATTGTGTCCTATAAATTCTTATGTTGAGGACATAACCCCCAGTACCTCAGAATGTGACTGTACTTTGAAAAAGAGTAATCGACTTAAAGAGGTACATATGTTAACATAGGGTTATTAGGGTGGGCCCTAATCCAATCTGACTGGTATCTTTATAAGAAGAGGAGAATGGGATACAGACAGAGAGGGACCACCATGTGAGGACACAAGGAGAAAACAGCCGTCTACAGGCCAAGGAGAGAGGCCTCAGAAGAAACCAAACTGGCTGACAACTTTGATCTCAGACTTCAACCAGTTTTAGTGAGAAACTAAATGTCTGTGTTTGAGTCACCCAGGCTGTGTATTTTGTTACGAGTGCCCTAGCAAACTAATACAGATGTATAAAGCTGCCACCAGTAGGGGCAATGGATCCAGGAAGGTGATAACTGAATTCAGCCTTGTGAGGGAAGGTGTCAGTAGGGAACCAAGGCCCAAATCCAAGGGATCTCTCCCAGTAAATTCTAAAAGCTGGAAACAGGAAGATATATAGATGGTATTAGAGTACTTAATTTCCTTCTTACCACACAAGCTGGAGTGTTAAATGTGGTGATGACCTCAGGCTTGAAAATAAAAGACGTAAGGTGCAGCCATTGCTCCACTACCAGCTTTGTGGCCCGGTACAAAGCGAGTACCCAATAAATATTTTCTGAGCAAACAAATGCAAGGCCTTAGGCCAAGATCCTTGAGCTTTAAGCATAGCTCTCACAACTCTAAAATGAGGATAATAATAGCCTCTACCTCATAGGGCTATAGTGAGCATAAAATGGAATGATGCCTAATATAATGACTTCCATGTTTCCTCCTCGTGATCATACACATGACTATTATAATTAGCAGGAGGGTGTGATCTGGGATGGAAGGAAAAAACCACAGAAGGTCAAAGCAAGAGAGAGGACAGTAGGTAAACCTGAGCTAGAAAAAAGTCTAATACATACAAAAAGGGCTAAGAGCCTAAATAAGGATGATAACGAAGGTCTGTTATAATCTTTACTAACAGGCTTTCATCAGCTGTATTACAAACATATGGTCTTGTGTTCATTGGAAGACTTAAAGTTTTTCTGTAAGTGTAAAAAGTAAAAAATGATAGCATTACTCCTTGGACTACAGGACGAGTTAACTTATGGACTCTATGAAATCTAAAGCCAAATTGCTACTAATGAATAAAGAAAGAATGATAGAACAGGAATGAATGGATACAGGCATTGATCATCAAAGGCTGCCTATATCATGGAAAGACAGACAACCAAAAATGATATGCCTACTAGTGGATGGACAACTACCATGTTTGAAGGAGTCTTGGGGGTAAAAAAATGAACCTGAATCTATCCCATCAAGACTCTAGATCCAATCGCATTAACAGTAAACAAACAAAGGAACATGGCCAAGGACATCAAAGGGATGTGACATCAAAATACAGATCACAGGAAAGTACAGGTCAAACAAACAGTTTTTACAAAAATTAAATTATAAGATAAAAATAGATTTAAGAAAGAAAACTTAAAAGGGGCGCCTGGGTGGCTCAGTCGGTTAAGTATCTGACTTCAGCTCAGGTCATTTCATGGTTAGTGAGTTCAAGCCCCGTGTCGGGCTCTGTGCTGACAGTTCAGAGCCTGGAGCCTGCTTCGGATTCTGTGTCTCCCTCTCTCTCTCTGCCCCTCCCCCACTCATACTCTGTCTCTGTCTCTTGAAAATAAATAAATGTTAAAAAAAAATTTTTTTTAAAGTTGTAAATTTGAGTATTTCTCTATATTTATGATTTGAAGAATGATTATTAATTATTTTAAGTACTGATAATGGCATTGTGATTTTCTTTTTAGAAGAATCCTTATCTTTCAAAGATAATTATATATTTGTGGAAGAAACTAAATGACACCTGGAATTTGCTTCAAAATAACGAGGAGGGGAGGTGGATGTCAAGGAATTCAGACTGGCCATCAGTTGATAAGGGTGATGAGTACATGGGGTTGAAATACAAATACATGTCTGACATTTTCTAATTAGTGGAACCCCTTAAATACCACTGCACTCTGGCTTCAAACAAAAAAGCACTTTAACTCTTATTCTGAATGCCACCTATACCTGTGCTGATCTTGGATTTATTCTCCACGGTGGTCATGGCAGGGACCGATGCTGAAGATGCAGCAGAAGGGCAGGTGCTTTTCTTTCCTTTAACACCATTAGTCACTGTCACCCCTCCAGCCATTCCAGCTAAGAGGTCATCATTGCTCTTGGTCTAGAAGTAACAGAAAAGAAAAACAAATTGACTAGATGAAGCAAGAGTAAATAACATTTTGAGACTAAAGCAAAGTTCTTGGCTTTTATATTAAATTCAAGAGCCTCACAAAGACTTTCTGACAGTTACCAATGCATCATACTGTGCTGCAGAGAGTACTTTACTGGTTTATAAACAATCACACATTTCTTTTAAAAATGCAAAACTCTGGGGCGCCTGGGTGGCTCAGTTGGTTAAGCATCTGACTTTGGCTCAAGTCACGATCTCACAGTTCATGAGTTCAAGCCCCACATCAGGTTCTATGCTGACAGCTCAGAGCCTGCAGCCTGCTTCAGATTCTGTGTCTCCCACTTCTCTCTTCCCCTCTCCTGCTCACGTTCTGTCTCTCTCTCTCTAAAAAATAAACATTAAAAAAAGTTTTTTTAATAAAAATAAAAATACAAAAATATGGGGTGCGTGGGCGACTCAGTCAGTTGAGTGTCAACCCTTGATAACAGCTCAGGCTGCGATCCTGGGGGTAAGGAATTTGAGCCCTGTGTCAGGCTCCATGCTAAGCAAGGACCCTGATTGAGATTCTCTCTCTTTCTCTCTCTTTCTCTCTCTTTCTCTCCCTCTGCCCCTCTCCCTAAGTGGCATGCTCTCTCAAATAAAAATAAAATAAAATTTAATTTAATTTAAAAATTATATATATAATCAAAAACTTTATGGAAGCCGACTATGTGCCCACATGTGCCACAGTCGGTGGGGGAGTGGAAAAAGTGAAGACATACTCTTTATTACTTTCAGATAGGACGTGACTTACGAACAGGGATCATCTGAGCACTATCACATGGGCTCCCAGTAAAGTTCTGTAATACCAAAGAAAATGCCATCCTGCAATTTCTAGAGAGAAAAACCACTGAGAATCCGATATAATATTCATTGCTTTATAGTAAATCATGGATGTAAAGTGATGGAGCCATTATTTGGAAATTTAGTTTTCTTATCTGATCTAATTTTTTAGTAGTCTAATTTAAGCCAAAATTGAAAGTTTTTTTAAAGCCGAGGTAATATATAAATAAAAAACTAGAGAGTTTATGGTTAGAGTGAGGGTTAGTCAGTCTAAATGATCATACTACTTGAGGAAGACCCTTTGTATTAATTTATTTATATTTTATAAAGACGACTGAAAAAAATACGAGCTTTTTACAAAGAAAACAGGTGGCCGCAGCAACTTCTAACTCAACACGTCCCCAGAGGCAAGGGAAACAAAAGCAAAAATGTACTGGGACCTCATCAAAATAAAAACCTTCTGCACAGCAAAGGAAACAATCAGCAAAACTAAAAGGCAACCGAAAGAACGGGAGAAGATATTTGCAAACGACATATCAGATAAAGGGTTAGTATCCAAAATCTATAAAGAACTTATTAAACTCAACACCCAAAAAACAGATAATCCAGTGAAGAAATGGGCAAAAGACATGAATAGACACTTCTCCAAGGAAGACATCCAGATGGCCAACCGACACATGAAAAAAGCTCAACATCACTCATCATCAGGGAAATTCAAATCAAAACCACAATGAGGTACCACCTTACACCTGTCAGAATGGTTAATATTAACAACTCAGGCAACAACAGATGTTGGCGAGGATGCAGAGAAAGAAGATCTCTTTTGCATTGTTGGTGGGAATGCAAGCTGGTGCAGCCACTCTGGAAAACAGTATGGAGGTTCCTCAAAAAATTAAAAATAGAACTACCCTATGACCCAGCAATTGCACTACTAAGTATCCAAGGGACACAGGTATGCTGTTTTGAAGGGACATATGCACCCCAATGTTTACAGCAGCACTATCAACAATAGCCAAAGTATGGAAAGGGCCCAAATGTCCATCGATGGATGAATAAAGAAAATGTGGTATAGGGGCACCTGGGTGGCTCAGTCGGTTGAGTGTCCGACTTCGGCTCAGGTCATGATCTCACAGCTTGTGAGTTCGAGCCCTGCGTCGGGCTCTGTGCTCAGAGCCTGGAGCCTGCTTCTGCTTCTGTGTCTCCCTCTCTCTCTGCTCCTAACCCACTCACATTCTGTCTCTGTCTCTCTCAAAAATAAACAAACATTAAAAAAAATTTTTTTTAAAGAAGATGTGGTGTATATATATACAATGGAGTATTAGTCGGCAATCAAATGAAATCTTGCCAATTGCAACTATGTGGATGGAACTAGAGGGTATTACGCTAAGCGAAATTAGTCAGAAAGACAAATATCATATGACTTCACTTATATGAGGACTTTAAGAGACAAAACAAATGAACATAAGGGAAGGGAAATAAAAATAATATAAAAACAGGGAGGGGAACAAAACATAAAGGACTCTTAAATATGGAGAACAACAGAGGGTTACTGGAGGGATTGTGGGAGGGGGGATGGGCTAAATGGGTAAGGGGCATTAAAGAATATACTCCTGAAATCATTGCTGCACTATATGCTAACTAATTTGGATGTAAATTTTAAAAAATAAAACTAAAAATAAAATAAAATAAAGTAAAAAGAAAACAGACATAAACTATACTTCAATTAAAAAAAAAAAAAAAATAAGCGGGGCGCCTGGGTGGCGCAGTCGGTTGAGCGTCCGACTTCAGCCAGGTCACGATCTCGCGGTCCGTGGGTTCAAGCCCCGCGTCAGGCTCTGGGCTGATGGCTCGGAGCCTGGAGCCTGTTTCCGATTCTGTGTCTCCCTCTCTCTCTGCCCCTCCCCCGTTCATGCTCTGTCTCTCTCTGTCCCAAAAATAAATAAACGTTGAAAAAAAAAAAA